TCGCGTTGTATAAGTCCGATCGGGTCCCACTAGATGGCGTTAGAAAGATGAGATTTCGTACTAAAAAAACTTTTCTGACAGTTTTGTGATTAGTTGACTCAGTTTTGTTTGAGCGCGCGTCAAAGATGGACACTAGCAAAGAGAAAATATGCTATATTTTATAGTTTTTCTTCGATAAAGGCGAAAACGCAAGCCAGGCGGCTGAAAATGTGAATAATGTTTATGGTCCTGATACTGTAACAGCCAATCATGCGCAATTTTGGTTTCGTCGATTCCGTTCCGGTAATTTCGATGTCAAAGATGCACCACGCACCGGAAGGCCAATTGTCGAAAATATCGATAAAATCATGGACATTGTCGAATCCGACCGTCATGTAAGCACTGTTTCGATTGCCCAAGAGCTAAAGATTGCACAAAAAACCGTTTGGAACCATTTGAATAAGGCTGGATACAAAAAGAAGCTCGATGTATGGCCACACGAGTTAACGAAAAAAAACCTCATGGACCGAATTTCCATCTGCGAATCGCTGCTGAATCGCAACAAAATCGACCCATTTCTGAAGCGGTTGGTCACTGGTGATGAAAAGTGGATCACTTACGACAATGTCAAGCGAAAACGGTCGTGGTCGAATCGCGGTGAGCCGGCGGAAACGGTGGCCAAGCCAGGATTGACGGCCAGGAAGGTTTTGCTGTGTTTGGTGGGATTGGCAGCGAATTATCTACTATGAGCTGCTCCTCTACGGCAAAACTCTTAACTCGGAACTGTACTGTCAACAATTGGACCATCTGAAGGAAGCAATCGCCCAGAAGCAGCCAGCTTTGGCCAATAGGAGAGGAATTGTGTTCCATCAGGACAATGCCAGACCACACACATCGATAGTGACTCGCCAGAAGCTCCTGGAGCTTGGTTGGGAGGTTCTTATGCATCCACCTTATAGTCTGGGCCTGGCACCAAGTGATTACCATCTGTTCCTGTCCATGGCGAACAATTTTGCTGGTGAAAAATTCGCTTCAAGAAAGGCTTGTGAAAATCGACTGTCTCAATTTTTTGCCAATAGGGACGAGGGCTTCTATGAGAGAGGCATAATGAAATTACCTTCAAAATGGCAACAAGTTATCGAACAAAACGGCGCATATTTTACCTGGATTAATCGCATTATTCTAACTATGGTAATTAAAGCCTTCAATTTCATGCAAAAATAATGGATTTCTTTTTACTACACCTAATATATTTATTCAAAGTATTGGCCATTTGATACATTTTGCCCATCTCTCAGGCAATTTATGGATGCCATTCCAAAAGAACTGTTTCTCCTTTGAGCTAAACCATTCATCGAGCCATTTTTTAACTTCTTCGAAATCGGCGAAGTACTGCTCTGCAAGCGCGTGCCCCATCGATGCGAAAAGGTGGTAGTCGGATGGAGGCAAGTCTGGAGAGTACGGCGGGTGCAATAAAACTTCCCATCCAAGTGATTTCAACACTTCTTTGACTGGTTTTGCTGTATGAGACGGCGCGTTGTCATGCTGCAAAACCACCTTATCATGTCTTTGAGCGTATTGTGGACGTTTTTCGATCAATGCACAGTTCAAATTGATCATTTGTTGTTGGTAGCGATCAGTATTAACTGTTTCTCCAGGTTTCAACAGTTCATAATATACGACACCAACCTGGTCCCACCAGACACAGAGCATGGTTTTGCGATCAAAGCGATTTGGCCTTGCAGTCGATGGGCTGCCTTCGCCAGGTGATAACCATGATTTTTTTCGCTTGGGATTTTCGAAATAAATCCATTTTTCATCACCCGTTACTATTCGATGCAGAAATGACTTCCTTTCATACCTTTGAAGCAGCATTTCACTGACGATTTTTCGATTTTCCAATTGCCTGTCATTCAATTAATGTGGCACCCATCTTCCCATCTTTTGGATCTTTCCCATCGCTTGTAATCGTTCACAAATTACTACTCGGCTCACATTTAACTTTTCTGCCAATTGTTTTTGAGTTTGTGTTGGGTCTTCGTCCAATAACTCCTGCAATTCCGCATCTTCAAACGTTTTCGGCCTACCAGGACGTTTTTTGTCTTGAACGTTGAAATCACCACATTTGAATTGTCGAAACCACGTTTCACATGTTCTTATGATTGGAGCATGCTCACCGTAAGTCTTTACCAGTAAACGATGACTTTCAGCGGCTTTTTTCTTTTGATTAAGCAAGAAAAGTAATGCGTGCCGCAAATGCACGTTTTCAGGCACAAAACTCGACATTTTCAAAAAATTATTAATCTATAACGCTGTTATTTTGGCGGAACGTAACTTGTGTAGTTTTGAGGTTAATGTCAGTAGAATAAAATGACATATGTATCAAAACATAACATTGCATACTTATGGCTAGTGACATCTGTTACAAAAACCGGAAATTAATTACCGACATACCTGGTATATATAATACAAATATACAAATGTATTACATACATACATACAACATACATACAAATGTATTAATTAAAATTGCATGCAATAAATACTAATTATATATAATATACACAGTCTGTCCCAGTTCCAATGAGACTGGTCTAAAAAAATACAAAGCGTTTATTATTTTGATTTTTTATACTTGTTTATTCAAAATAGTCTCCTTCTGAGTCAATACAGCGCTGGAAACGTTCAACAAATTTTTCGAAACATTTTTTATACTCATCAGCTGGAATGGCCTTTAATATGGCGGTCGAAGTCTTTTGGATGACCAGGATGGTATCGAAACGATTTCCTTTCATCGCCAATTTCAGTTTGGAAATAGCCAGAAGTCGCACGGAGCCAAATCAAGTGAATACGGTGGATGATCGATAACAATGATGCCTTTTTTGGTCAAGAATTCACGTACCATGATGGCTTTATGCGATGGTGCATTATCGTGCAACCTTCCGTTTGCCCAAATCTTCGGTCAAAATTCGATAGACTGTGCTTTTCGGTATCCCAGTTTCCTCTTCGATGGGTCTCGCAGACACACAGCGGTCGCTTCGAAGAATTTCTTTGACTTTCTCGATGTTTTCTTTATTGCGAGTAGTTTTTGGCGGCGGTGCTCGGTCATCGTCTGCAAAGTCCTCACGACCGTCACGGAATCGGCCAAACCAACGGAAAACCTGTGCACGGGACATGCATTCATCCCCGTATATATTTTTTAGCGTTTCGTACGTTTCTGCACCACTTTTACCCAATTTAAAACAGAATTTAATATTCGCTCTTTGTTCCATGTTGGTTTTTCGACCGACGTACACAAAGTGACTTTACATAAAATGTCAAACCACAGTGAAATATCAACCGAATTCGCTCAAATTTTGAGGTTAAGTAGATGAAGGGTAGAACATTCACCTACCATCATTCACTCATAGATGTCGCTGCGTTAAGAACTTTGATGGAACCAATCTCATCGTATCTGGGACAGACTGTGTATACCTCTTTTTGAATTGTATGTCCATTCTCTTTCATAAAACATAGAAAAGGCTGTTTGTATAATGAATTTATCTTCCCATTCTTCTACCCATATAGCCATACCTGAGCGAACAAATTCCGCGCAAGAGTTGACATCAAGTGTTGATAGCAAATAGGCAACAAATTTGCAACAAACTTTATGTTATCAAATTCTGCTGGTAAACTGCCACCAAATGTGCAACAAGGCATGGTGCGGAGCAACTTTTGCAGTAAATTTGCAGCAAAAACCGTGCAAGTTTTGCAGCGCATAACTTAACACCAAATAGGCACCAAACACCGAGCAACACATGCGTGCAAGACACGAGAGCAAATTGGCAGCAAATTCGCAGCAAGCCTTGCACTCAATCAGCTGATCGAGATGGTGGCGACGTGCGTTGGGTTTTAAATGGCTCCTAACCTATATATTGCTAAATCCCAGTAAGCAATCTGTGCGCAGACTGATGTCAGATTGGCGACAGGATCTGTCGAATGCGCGCAGGATCTATAGTCAGATGACAGACATCTATATGCCCAGATTGCCGACAGACTGCCGGCAGAGCCTGCTGACAGATTCTGACAGCAAATTGTCGTCAGATTGCACACAGAACCTGTCGGCAAATTCTGACGGCAAATTGCGCCCAAAGCCTGTCGACAGACACTGGCTGTATTCAGCAGACTCAACAGTTGGACAACATTACTAGATTTTCCACTGACTCTCGCTCCTGATTGGTAAATATTTCTGGGTCTATGAAGAATCTAAAAGAATGCTCCAATCACAGACAATAATCACTAAGCGCTCTCTGATCACTTTGTTCTACTGAACGCAGCCATTGACAGCAGGTTGACGGCAAATTGTGCGCAGACTCTGTCGTTTCGTGAGTTATTTAATTAAATAGCATATGCACGCCTTTAAATGGCTATTTAAACTTATAGTATATATGAATACCTATATATATCTATTATGTAATTTGAATTTATTTTTCCCAGATAGCAAAACGTTCCTTGGCATAATAATGGAAGTTGCTTGGCATAAGTTTCCTTGAAGTTGCCATCATGTTACTGTCACCGGAAGAATAGTAATATCGTTTAGGGTAATCTGAAGGCATTATTCGGACAACGATTGCCGTGCAAACGAGCAAAAATGCTGTAGCATACTTATTTCCATAAACGTTGTTACAATTTGTTGGAAACCGTTTTCATATGTACATGGCGGAAAAAATGTAGAAAATATTTCCGCCAATTGAATGGAAACATATGTAAGCATGTAATGTTCGAAAAAATCGGAATCAAATGCATTATAAATATCAAAAACACTTGGAACAATGTGGTGCGCCATGTTTATCACTGCACTGTTGCGTTCTTTTAACCTTTCTGTACTTTTGTACCAGTGCAACATTGGTGTTGCACTTGCTGTCCTCACCAGTTCCAGTTCAGTTCTAGTACAGTCCCAGTTCAGCACTAGTTCAGCTAAAAAGAACAAACATGAGATAAATATACTTTCTCTCACTCTAACCAATTGCAGTAGTGTGCACTAGTTCAGCAGTGCAGCGAAAAAGAATAGACCCTCTGTCGTTCTTTACTTGTGTAAATTACTGCTCGTTTTGTGATACCGTATGCACTAGGACGCTAATATAATAAGCGAAGAAGAAAAAGAAGAGGCCTAAAGGGTTTTTGGTTTATACGAGATCGATAAAGCCCTACGGACTAAAAACAACGAAAAGAATAATTAATATAGGAATGGTAATGAACCATGTGTTTTTCGTACGTCTGATAGCTAAATATTAAGGGCTAATTGTACATTAATTTATAACAATTTCAGATTTGAAACTCGCAGTGTACAGAATGTATTCGGATGCTATAACCTGTAAATTCAACACGCATTGTCGTTTGCTCGCATCATTTTGGGTTTTTAATGGTTTTAGATATATTTCGTGTGGAGAGAAATTGTTTAAACTACCGTTTGAAGAATATATTTCGAAGAAATTTACAGTACGATGCCGCTGCAGTAAGTGTAAACAAATTATACTAGGGGAAATTGAGTACAGTTGATCCTTATAGACGATACGGTACATCGATTTTACTCTCCTTGACTATATTGTACCAAGTCTCCACACTGATATTAAGTTGCAATTTTATGTCGACATTAAATTATAACCTAATATCAATGAGGAGACTTGGTACGATATAGTCAGGGAGAATAAAATCAATGTATCATGTCGCGCATGAGGATCAAATGTACTCAGTTTCCCCTACATTATAATAATACAACATAATACTTTTGCAGTGTGAATAACAGATTTGGATAATAATTTAATAATGAAGCAAATCCATTTGGAAACTAACAATTCGCGTTGCTATAAGCATCTTCATGTGGTATCGAAAAGGCAACAAAGAATCAGATTAACCCGCCAGAAACAAACTATAAAAAAAAACAGTTGATGTGACAAAATCACTTTTGTTACATAATAGTTTGATTCGTCCTGTAAACATTTCACTTAAAAACTTTACTAAAAATATTATACAATCTCAAAACTTTAAAGACGTAAATTACTTTGTACAAGAGACACTGGCTCCGATTGTACAACTCTTTCCTGACAAAAAATCTTTTCATTTATATACAAACAATCCCAGATAGCCAAATCTGTGCAAATAGATTTCGAGCAGATGTTGTTATAATTTTTGACGGCAAAAAAGAAGCAAATTTAACACAGAATTTGTTTATCTGATCGTGTCGACAAACTGTTACCAAAAATGTAACAAAGCTTGATGACAGGAAATCCGAGCAGATTGGCAGCAAAAACTAAACAGAGTCTGTTACAATCTAATGACAGATTGACGGCAGAAAGCGCGCAGAATCTGCGCACATAACCTAGTAACAGATTGACGGCAGAAAGCGCGCAGATTCTATGTATATAACCTGGCAGCAATTTGACGGCAGAAAGCAAGCAGAATCTGTTCGTTAACAGCTCATTTAAATAGCCATTTAAACTGTCCCTGACATATACTACTATCGATAATATTTATTTGTCTTTTTAATATAAAGAGAAATAAACTGTAATGCTGTAAAAAGAATTTTATTTTTATTATAATTTTTATTAAAAGTACATAACACAATATATGTAAAATGGCCGTAATAAAAAATACAATTACAATAAAATTATAATAAAATTTTAATTTTAAATGCAATTTTATTTGTACTTCCACCGCTGACTCAGCAACTGTAGATCAGCAGGAAATATTGAGATGTTGCCTAGATTATCTTTGTCAGCATAACTTGGCATCAATAATTAATTTCTGTAAGCTAAGATTTCAATTAATCCTTCATATGTTGATATTATAAAATATCATGGATAAAATATCACGTTGCATTGAAAACTGCAGATTTATGTAACATGCAATATCCCACACCGGACATCCAGTGGATGTACATTTCACGTCCAATTTATGTTCGTATATCCGATTTACGTCCATGGACATAAATTGGACGTAACAAGGATGTCCTTATTGGACATCGGACCTGTAGGACGTCTGATGTACGTCCATCGGACGTCCGAAGTTGTGACAAACGTACGTCCTATGGACGTCTTTTGTAAAAATGGACATATAATGGACGTTCAATGGACATCCGTGTGCTGTCTGGGATGGTTGCATGACAATAGAAATTGGCACTCACAAGTACCGATTGTTTCTTCATTGCGCAGAGGCTTCTCAGTTTGAGCAAATTGGGTCCCAGCAGACGCAGTATAACTGTTATATAACTGTTAGTTATAATTTTTTATTCAACATTTATATTGAATAAAATATTACAAGTAACAGTTTTATAACTGTAACTTTGTGTTTGCTGGAATGGCACTAACAAGGAGATGACGCAACCTGTTTCATCGATTTCAACACGAGTCATAGTACATTCGATAGCTATGATGCCGTGTATAAACGCCCTAACATAATATGTGTGAATGCGTCTTTGTTTACGAGTAATTTGCAGTTAAAATTTGACTCGCGGAGCCGTGCCATACATAGGGCGCAAGTTACGACACTCTTTCACGAAGCGGCGTGGCTGAACAGACAGAGGCTCCCGCGCCGCGAACACTTTTGCGCCGACGACGGCGTTCGAGTCCCGCCGACGACTGGTTCGCTTTTTTTTTCGTATATAAAGACATGTAATAAATATTTTTATATTGTTCTTATGTATAATTCCTTTTTTGTTTCTACGCTATTAATCAAGGCTAATTAGGAGAGTCAGGTCTTTCAAATATGAACACAACTTTTTTATTAATTACAATAAAATGTTTTTGTCCGTATCAAAACACATACACACACACAATCACGTCTTCTCCTTCTGCTATATAATATTCCACCTCTTCTGATATTTTATGTTTTCCCAACAGTTTAATTAATTTTTCAAACAATTTTCCGCCAATTAATTTGGAATTTTTTGATATTTTTCTTGACACTTCATTATTAATTAATTTAAATTATATCAGGACATTTGCAAATATGAATCCAATATAATTGATATTGTATACAAGGCCAATAACAATACGTACAAATATATCTTTCCATTGCTCACACATTCAATATATTTACCTCGAAGATATTCTATTGCGTCCGTCAACTCTTCTTTCGTAATCACATTTTATTAGATTTTGCACATAGCTGATCGTTGCTTCATCTACAAACGTGGTTTCCATTTTTAACACGAGTTTTTCACTGTTCACGTTACGAAGACTGCCCAGAGAATGAAGCGAGCACGTCACAAAACATGAGAATCCCTCTGCGAGAAGGGGAAAGGGAAGAGGGTTCCTTTCCACTTGTAACGGTTCTAACGGCTCTCGGGTTTCTCTCACACAAAATAATCACTGTCTGCCCATTTCTTTCCCATACCATACGAAATATTTATGCGAAATAGATTTACACGAAAAAAATATTTTATTGTAATTAATAAAAAAGTTGTGTTCATATTTGAAAGACCTGACTCTCCTAATTAGCTTTGATTAATAGCGTAGAAACAAAAAAAGGAATTATACATAAGAACAATATAAAAATATTTATTACATGTCTTTACATACGAAAAAAAACGAACCAGTCGTCGGCGGGACTCGAACGCCGTCGTCGGCGCAAAAGTGTTCGCGGCGCGGGAGCCTCTGTATGCTCAGCTACGCCGCTTCGTGAAAGAGTGTCGTAACTTGCGCCTTATGTGTGGCACGGCTCCGCGAATCAAACTTTAACTGCAAATTACTCGTAAACAAAGACGCATTCACGCATATTATGTTAGGGCGTTTATACACGGCATCATAGCTATCGAGTGTGCTATGACTCGTGTTGAAATCGATGAAACAGGTTGCGTCATCTCCTTGTAAAAAGTGCCGATTTGTCTTTACGATTTCTTTTTCTCTCTCTCTCTCTCTCTCTCTCTCTCTCTCTCTCTCCCTTCTTCTCTCTTCTCTTTCTCTGTCTCCTTCCGCTTGTCTTACTCTTGTCCGTGGCTGCCCTTGCTTATCTTTGGTCTAATGGTCCTCCACAGGCATTGTTTCCAGACGCGATGACGGCTCATCCTCCTGTACCGAGACATCCGTATACTCTGCAACTCAGTGAAATCTATATTAGGGTGAGCAGGTATGTTATATGTCGAATGTGATATGTCATTGTGCGATGTGCCATTGCGCTATATGTGCTGTGTGGATGTGTGAAAATATTTTACATAACTTCACTATGTATTATGACAGCCACAACATTATTTGTTATTTCAGAGGAATTCTCTTCCTCACTATCCGAATCCGTCAATGTATTATTCCAAAAAGGCATTCTGTAACATTTTGCATGAACATTTTCTATACTAACATTGAATAAATCGCAGCCTAAGTTGCTACACTAAAAAATCTGGAAAGCTGAGGATGCCAAGCCAATGTCATAAAAATTATTAATTTCTAGAAACTTTCGAACTTGTAAGTCATAAGAATTATTGTTGACGATAATATTGAAGACAATACAGATTGACCCATCATGCAATATGCAGCAATTATCATGGTCGTATATTGTTAACATTATTCTGTTAAATTGTATCTTATAATACTGAAGATAACTAGCATCATTATTTTGCGGTATGGATACACGAATAGAAGAGTCAACTTCCCTAATAATATTTGTTCTGTGGATTTGTATCTCTCTCATTCTATTGAAGAACTGCTAAAGAGATAAGCCCGGTTTCCTGCTATATTTCCTGAAGAGGGACATATTATTCTCATACGGAGAAGCAGAAGAAGAATCTAAACATCCAAAACGTCTAACATCGTCGGTCAAATGAATAAGACCGTGAACATTATAACTATTAAACGTGACGCCATACAAATTACTACTGCGAAGAACAAATTTTTGAATCGCTAATTCAGCAAATCTCAGATGTTGTATGGTTGGGGATTTAGTTACTAATGCTCTTATGGCAGTGTGCAAAAATGAAAAATGTTTATACAGTTCTTCATTTAGCAAACCGCGCATTACAACCGAACCTGTATAAAGTAAAAATTGACGAAATTCTGTTGCTTTATATTTGGAACATACATCAAGAGTTCTAGGGCGTCTTGCACAGTCTGAAGGACAATATCGTCTAAGAATATTTAACCTGTCACATATAATAGAAATTGATCTTCCTGACAATTTTGATATCCGTGAATATTTCCCATATACCCAAGCACATAAGAGTTTTTTTGTTACACCTAAACACACCAAATGCATGTACTCAAAAGGAACGTTTGAAACCATACCTATTGGGAGTAATGATAAAGGACTTCTACTTTCTTTATGATGATCTTCGTCCAAGCATTCATGATATTTTTCATGTTCTCAAGAAATGATTAATACCGATGAAAACATTACGACCTTCGCTCAATATTCCAGAAACTTTACATTTGAGCATAGTTTGCAAGACATGTGACCACGATGATTGAGAATAAAAGCATGGGCTGGAGCATCAGCTACAAAACATCTTAATTGTATTGGTATTTTATTACTATTATAGTTTACACCTCCATTATGCATAATTCTTGTAATATCTGTAATAAATTTATCAAAAAAGACATTTGGGTTGTGAGGTTTTTGTTTACCTTTATAAATTCCTATTACTATCGGTTTTATATGCTGAATATTAAATATCCTACACTGAATTGATCAGATATGAATATTGCCTGATCTATCCAATGTGCAACCATCTGTATTAAAATCTAATTGAAGTTCAGAAGAAATAGATATTAATGAAATACTAGAAAGACTATCAATGATACCTACTTCCAGATCCAGATGAATATATTCACCTGGATCTACATTTGATAGTATAACAGTGCCCGGAATTACTTGCACGATCGGGCCGATTTCTGAGAGCTACGCCTCCTTACTTCCCCTTACCGCTCCAGCCCGCACGGCGGACCAAGAAACTGACAGTCGCGAGGCGCTGTCTCAGGCACGTCGCATGAGACAGTCACATGAGATGCTTCACAGTTTAACATAGCTGAAACAAATTTATTTATTAAAACAACTCCATAGGCATTTTTTATAGTTTACTAATATAATATAGTCTTAATATTAATATAAATATATGTTAATAGAAATATCAATATAAGTAATATTCTTAATATAACTATAATATACACTGTATACACTGTAATATTCTTAATATTTCTATTAATATATATTTATATTAATATTAAGACTATATTATATTAGTAAACTATAAAAAATGCCTATGGAGTTGTTTTAATAAATAAATTTGTTTCAGCTATGTTAAACTGTGAAGCGTCTCATGTGACTGTCTCATGTGACGTCCCTGAGACAG